AGTTATATTAGCACAAACTTTACGAAACGAAGTGAGCGAAATTCTTTGCTTTTGTTGTTTGCGTATCATATTTTTATGATATGCAACTATTATTGTTGTTACTTTGCTTATCGTTACTGCGAATTATTATCATTATTGGTATTAGTTAGAAGCATAATTCAAATGCAGCCTGGCTTAGGCCCGATCATATCGACGGCATTGATACACGATGCAGACCTTGCCTGTATCGGTATTATGAAAATGTTAAGGAGAGTGAGCGAAGTCGCGTGGACCTGATGTGCTTGAATGACATCTCGCGTGACCATCGTTTCATCTCGTATCGCAAAATGGAGAACGAATCCAATCTGAACTTCAGTTCGCTACTGGATCAACTCTCATCAGCACACATCTCCTCACTGAATCTACTCACCTGTCTGTCGTGCATTTGTAATATTGCTCAGCACCGACCGCAATTCATGAGTCGTGTTGTTGGTACGTTTGCTGTTTGTTCATAATCAATCAGATGACAGCCTGTTCGATAGCAGTAGCGTATCATTCTGTTCAGCAGAGAAACGTTTTGCTTGAACCAATTGGTTTTACAGTACTCATTCGTTATAACACTTATGAAGTTAAAGTATTTGACATGTTCTTTTTAAAGGTGCTCTCGAGTCTCTGCATGTCAATCTACCACCAACACTAGCCATGAGTCAAGTAAAAAGTGTTCGCAAAGAACTGAAAATGCATTTGCTGCGATTACTAAAAAATCTGAGCAGTGCACCGTTTCATCAACGAATTACAACGTTGCTCACGGATCTTGGAGCGGGGCAGTCGGTTCGGTTTTTCAATGTTGTGTTTGTTTATATGAATATTTCACTTACCATTTGCACATACGTTCACTAATATTTATTTATTTTCTATCATGCGGTACGTTTCGCCTAAGTTGAGCGTATGCGTTGATTATCGCGTACAGGTAATCGCTGACTTATGATGGCAACTAAGACTGAGAGTTCTAATTTGGTCTGAAGTTTGGTTACAGTTGTAAACCGTCCTTGATTCTATGTCAAAGCTTTACTTGTTTAAAAATAATATTTTTTTAATTGTGAAAGCTCGATTCACTAACACGGTTCTTTCCAAACATTTGTTCGCAAACCCCAGAGTCAGTGAGCTTCTAAGAGATTCGAATAAATTATAGCTTTAGTCTGAATTGCTAAAAAACTATTTTGTGATGATGAAATCGCTTATTAAACGGTTGATTTACCACAGGGATTCACTTTTTGACCATTTAAAAAATATTTTTGTTGCAACCAAGTTGATGATTACACTTTGTGTTTAAAGGAAGTGCTACGCGCACTACCAGCCACAAGCGACATTCGTAAACGATCACAACGAGGTGATGATAACGGCGCTGAGGAACGGGACAGAAAACGAACGAAGGTTTGTTCTCATCCATTTCACTCGTACTTTCT